GGAACCCAGGCAATTCCTGAGTGCTTTCTACTCAGAGGAGCGCTGCTCTAAGGCTCCAAAGAGTTTGTTTGGGCCTACTGTATCCAAAGCATTTTAATTCCATATTGTGGAGCTGAAAGGGGTCTCCATGGGTGACCCGGCCAGCCTCTGCTTTCAGGCAGGCGAGGCCTTCGCTAATACTTTATTTAGCAGATACAGCCAAGTGGCCCCCAAGGGAGTGGCAAGGTTGGCCTGAGAACAGTGCTTCGGTCACTGGACTCTGAGTTTGGGGCATTTTCTGTCTGCACCCCCTGGAGCTTACATTTCCAGGGCCAGGCAGTCTCAGGAGTTGTCATAGATTTCATCACAGAGCGATTGTGTCACTTTATTTTTTTAACAGAAGTGAGGGAAGAATAATAATATCTGATCCTCCTGGACTCCCTTGGAGAAAAGGCTGGATTGCACAGTGGTCTGAGACTCGAGTTGCTGGAGATCAGGGCAGCAGCTCAGCACATGGAATCTAATATTGGAATCAGTATAATGGCGAAGCCACCCTGTGCTAAGTCCTGGCTGCGTGGCAGGCATGGTGCTAAGGGCTTGCGCTGGCATTTCATCTCTCATCCTCCAGTGAGGTGGTTAAGGCTGTTGCCTCCATCTTGCAGACCTGAATCTCACACATCAAAGTCAACATGGATGATCCTCTTTTTTTTTTTTTTTTTTTTGAGATGAAGTTTCGCTCTTATCTCCCAGGCTGGAGTACAGGTGACATGATCTTAGCCCACTGCAACCTCTGTCTCCTGGGTTCAAGCGATTCTCCTGTCTCAGCCTCCAGAGTAGCTGGGATTACAGGCATGTGCCATCATGCCTGGCTAATTGTTGTATTTTTAGTAGAGATGGGGTTTCACCATGTTGGCCAGGCTGATCTTGAATTCCTGACCTCAAGTGATCCACCCACCTCAGCCTCCCAAAGTGTTGAGATTACAGGCGTGAGCCATCACACCCGGTGATCCTCTCATTTTCACAGGTGGAGAGATTGAGGCCCAGAGAGGGGAAGGGGCTTCCTTGCGGACACACAGTGGCAGAGGTAGACTGGGAGTCAGAAGCAGTTCTCCAGCTTCCTGGGCCAGCCCTTCCTTTCTCTCATTGCCTCTTCATCAGGTAGAAAGAGAAGCAGCCTTGGGCCCGGAATCTGACTTTCCCTCTTTCCTCACCCAGAGAGAGTCATATGCATCCCACCACCTCTTTCTGCACCCCACCCCTGCAAACCCCAAACCATCTTAGGCACCTAAGACACCTCCACTAACTCTTCTCTGCTGTTTGTGACCTCGGAGCTGGCTGTGGCAGAAGAATTGAGTGGGTTTAAAACAGCCTGTCTTACATC